CCGTGCTGCCCGCTGCCAGGGCCCAGCGCGGCCCCAGCGCACCCTGTGCCCTCACCTTCCTACGCGTCCTCCCCAGCAGCAGGCGCGTCACCACCTTTGGTGTTCCTGGTGTAGATCACCTGGGCTCGGTGCTTGGACACGAGCTTGATCAACCCTGGTGAGAGGAGACGAGGACGTCAGTGTGTGGGGGACGCTGAGCGGCGTGACTTGGGACAGGTCTGGCAGGCGGCAACCAAAGGTGCCCACGTACCTAATAGCTGCTACTGCGCTCACCCACCTCGTACCAGCCCAGCGGCCGCTCCAGGGCCCTGTGCAAGGCACAGCTGGGCCAGAGCTAACAGTGCAGGAGCTGGCCCGGCACGTGGGCTCACACATGGCTTCTGAGCGAGTCCAGGAGCCCCTGAATTGCAACCTGGTCCCTGGGCAGAATGTTCCTACTACGGCAGTGCTGCTAAACACGACACAGTCCTGCTCAGTACTTTGGAAACACAGACTAAGACCTGTGGCTTTGACAATAACGTGCCAATCTGTACACATGAAATGTAGCGCAAAGTCCCCTTAATAAAGACAGAAATGTGTCCAGCCAGCGTAGGGTTTTTCCACGATTGGGAGTATTTACCTTTGCTAAGCAGTTCCTGAAGAGCGGCTCTAGCCAGAGAGCCCCGGATCTTGAGGCGTTCTGAGACCACCGCAGGGGTGATGAGCTTGTAGTTGGGCACTTCCTTGCACAGTTTGTCATAGGTGGCCTTGTCGAACAAGACCAGGTTGTTCAACTTGTCTCTAACTTTTCCCTTGGACCACTTCTACTTGAAAGCAAAGGGAAAACACTAAGGCACGTTCCAGGGGGGAAAAGCGGGGGAGTTGTGGGGAGTGCTGGGAATTCCGCTGTGGAATGCCCCCCTCCCCCAGGGCGGCGCGGAGCCCCGAGCACATGGACACGGAGCCGCCGCGCGGTAACGGGCGGGAAACCTCCCGGCGCTCCCCGTTACGGGGCACGGGCGGAGCTCGG